CAACTCACAGTGACCCTATTGGACAGAGTCAAACTGCCCCACAGGGTTTCCTAAGCTGAAATCTTTGTGAGAGCAGATTGCCAGGTCTTTTCTCCCAAGGAGCTGCTGGTGGGTTCAAACCGGACCTTTTGTTTAGCAGCTGAGTGCTTAACCATCATGCCACCAGGGCTCCTTCAAGACTCTAGAAAAAAACAAACAAACCAAACCCATTGCCGTCAAGTCGATTCCAACTTACAGCGACCTATAGGACAGAGTAGAACTGTCCCATAAGGTTTCCAAGGAGCGCCTGGTGGATGCAAGACTCTAGAGCACCAAGAAAATTAGGACAAATGGAGGAAAGTCCACTTCTAAAGGCAACTACTACAAGCCCTTCACTCCAGCCACACCCAAACCCCACTCACGGAATCCGTTTCTCATACAGTAATTGCTTTTTCCATAGCTTCTCAGAATCCACCTTCCTTAGTGTCTACTTTACCTTCTTGTTTTATACAGGTGAGTTAGAGTTGAAAAACAGAAGGGGTAAGAAGAGGCAGAGCACACAGGAAGTAAATGGAGTGGAAAGGAGGGAAAGAGAGAAATAAACCATTTTGGTGTTTTACACCCATGTCATAGCCAGAGATGTCCAGTACTATGTGGGTATCTAAATTCAGATTTAATTAAACATTTAAATTTGAATTAAAATTATGTGAAACAAATGATTCAGAGCCGTAGTCACACTAGCCACATTTCAGTGCTTAATTGCCACAAGTATAGGATATTTCCATTATCACAGAAAGTCCTGTTGGACATCTCTGTCACTGGTTTATAGGAACAGCATTAATGTTCCCAAACCAAAACACAAAAACAAAAAACAATTATCATCAAGTCAATTCCGACTCATGGCAACCCCATATGTGTAGAGTAGAATTGCACTCCACAGTGTTTTCAAGGATGTGACCTTTCAGAAGCAAATCACCAGGCCTCTCTTCCAAGGTATCTCTGGGTGGGTTCGAACTGCCAACCTTTCAGTTACTAGTAGAGCACTTAACCGTTTGCATCACCCATGGACTCTTCGATGTCCCAAAGATAGCCCTTATCCAGTAATTTACTTCTCCCTATTGAACCAGTTGGAAACCCTGGCGGCATAGTGGTTAAGAGCTTTGGCTACTAACCGAAAGGTCAGCAGTTTGAATCCACCAGGAGCTCCTTGGAAACCCTATGGGGCAGTCCTACTCTGTCCTATAGGGTTGCTATGTGTCTGAATCGACTCGATGGCAAAGGTTTTGGTTTTGAGTTTATTGAATCAGTTGAAGTTACATCACAAACATTTACGCTGATGTGTTTAAATGTGAGTTGCTATTCAATAAGAGTCTGCCGCTCAACCCTGAGTGCTTGGGTATTTGTCTCAATGCATGCTATTTTATTAGATACTAGTCATTAGAAAATACTAATAGACTTCCTATGAACAAAAATAGGATTTACTTTTAAATCAACAGCCATCTAGCACTTTGGAACCAGAAGTTACAGTTGAAAAGCAGCTCTTGGATATTCTTTAGCGTTTTCCTCGAAAATTGATCTTTCAATTATAGTTTGATGTGCTATTCCTACATCAAATTTAAATGCTCAGAATAAGTTGTAGGAATGGTTAGAGATGATCACTAATGATCTGGTGTCTACAATCATCAGCCACTTGGATGCTGACTCATGGGCAAGTGAGGACCCAACTGCAGAATAATCTACTGCCTTGTCTAAAAGGAGTGCTAAAATGCAGAGAGCTCTGTGCTTTGAAGATTTATGTAATGTAAAAAGATATTTGTCTTTCTGCTCTTCATACAAAGCTTCTCTGCATTACTTGCAATGATTTTTAAAACTTCCTTCTAAGGCACTAAGGAAAACTAAATAATTTTGACAGTTTCTTTTTTTTAACATCTCATACTCATTACCATCTCAAGTGTCTATGAAACTGATGGCTATTGCTATCATTTTTCTTACATATCTGCTATTGTCTAAACTAGACTTATTCTCCTTAAGGCTAGGGACTGTGTCTTAGTAGCCCAAGTGCCTGGCATATATTAGTCACCTTGAATGGATGGATGGATGAGTGAATGGATGGATGGATGGATGGATGGATGGATGGATGGATGGATGGATGGATGGACAGATGAAGAGGCTGAGTTCCCTTCCAACTCTACATGGAGAAGACTGTACTCCAGACAGTCAACTACAACTAAGCCAGGCCTAAGGCTCACCTTCTTTCCCATGTTAAGATGCCCAGAATAGAATTGTAGGATTGTAGAGAAGCCAAAACTACTTCCCTAGCGCCTTCCATCTCCAGGTCAACCACCATTTCTTTCTGCTATTGATTGGAACAGATAGAGACAGGAAAATTGTTCCCAAAAGAAAGATGAAGAGTAGAGAGGACAGGATCATACCCTTCCCATGTCACTTGCCCCCCAGCCCTAGAATTGGAGCTCTCAAACAAGACAATCCCTTCACACTGGGAATAATACAGTTTATCCCCTTGCACCACAGAGCAGGTTTACTAACACTGGTGTTCCCAAGCATCACCTGTAATACATGCTGCACGCACAGGGTCCTTCTCCATCGGAATGGCACCCCCCCCCCAGGTGTCTCTGATGCAGGTGTTGGTGACGCTCACTTTAAGAATCCCTGATTTGCCGCCAAAACACAACCCAAGCAATCCCCGGCATTACAGATGTTCCCATACCCCTCCCCTCACAGATGTGGTAAGAAAAATATTAAGGCCAGAATTGCATTTATAATATCCACCATCCAGATCTGAAAATCAGCCCATCATGGAAAAGCTTTGTGACTGAAAGTGCTGTGGGCTTTGTGTCCATGGAACCAGTCAAATCCCTTGGCCACCATTTACTTGCTGCATTACCTTTGCCTCCAGCTTGCTCACTGGTAACAATTCTTGGCCCTCCAGGCTGTTCAGAGACCCAAGAGAGTGTATGAAAGTGCTGAGAACACCCTAAGGTACAATGCATATATTTGAGATTGCTGTGGTCATCCCCAATTCAATGCAGCGAACTCTTTTACAAACTAAAGTTTGCAAATATTAGAAGTTTTCATAATCAGGGAGCCAGCAGGGGTTAAACTTTAAGGTCTGCCTCAGATTTAAGAGATAAGCTTGAAATTCTTACCGGTCTAAGGCAACATACTGGTTGACCTACTCAGATACTCCCTATCAGTGGCCTTTTCTTCCTCTGCTGGAGAAAGCAATTAGCGTGCCAATCCCCTGCCAACCGAGTCTTAACACAACAACCTTTCATCTGCTCTGTTACAGAGACAGCCCACTTTGACCTCAGGGAGTGCCTGTTTAAAGGAAGGGAGGGCCCGCTTGCAGGGTTGCCAACAGAATCAAGGAAGGGAGTAGGTAATAGAGTGATCTCACTGCCTCTCTTGTCCCTTATGCAACCACTAACATTAGCAAAGCAATGCTGCACTCACTTAAAACCCCCTGCTCTGGCCCCTAACAACTGGTGTCAGGTACCCCATCCCTTGCTCTTTCTCTTCCTATTGGTTGTAATCCCACTTCACTGGAAGTCAAATTTTTCACCGAGTTTCACATCTAGGAGTGAGGTAAACACTCCCTCTAATCCAGGAGCGTGATGTGTGCACCAGGAGAGGGCATGATTTGGTACCGGAGACACACAGATGAAGCTTTTTTCTTTTAACAGTAATTTTTAATTTAACACATATCACACACAAACACACACGAACAAACAAACCCGTTGCTGTCACTTCAATACTGACTCACAGCAACCCCACGTGTTACAGAGTGCAACTCCTCCATAGAGTTTTCTCGGCTGTAATTTTTACAGAAGCAGATCGCCAGGCCTTTCTTCCATGGGGCCTTTGGGTGAGTTTGAACTGCCAACCTTTAGGTTAGTAGTCAAGCGCAGACCATCTGCACCACCCAAGGGCCTCCCACACATGTATAAATCGTGGATATTTTGGTTTAATATGAGACTAATTTCTTTAAGTGAGTCTACTCACAGTAGATTTAAAGAAAAATAAATAATAATGGTCATATAGTGATATATCAAAAATTGTAACAGTGAACAAAAACCACAGAACCTTGGAATGATCCAACCTGTAACCCAACCCCTGCGTTGTGTAGATAAGGCACTCAAGACAAAGAGATAAACTCGTTCAAGGCCACA